AAATTAATCTTTTATCTTCTTTTTTTGTAAATCAATATAACTTGCACTTTTTTAATAAATAAATTTATTTATGAAACTAATTCTGATGGTTTTACGTTATCGTTCATACAGTGAAAAAATATTGTGAGACAAGAAAACATTTGTCTAAGTAGGTACACTGTTAATAAATTACGAAACATGTAACAATTTGATTATGTATTCATAATCAAGTAGATTTTAAAATTAATGGATTTGAAACTTTAAATATACTGGGCAACATTGCAGTTAATGATTGAAAAACTTCATGTGATAATCCCTGCAATAAGGAAAAATAAAAAAAAAAAAATATAAGAAATGACAAAGATTTACCCGTGGAAGAAGAAACTGCAAATTTTTAAGATCTGAACCACCCCAAGAGGCCATTTCTATCATGAAGCCTTTTACACATTTAAATACAAGTTCTGCCCTTTTGGTACACCATGCTACTGTCATTTCCTACAAAGTCAAAAGAATTTTTTTTAAATAATACTTATTGAAAGTTTGTTCATATTAAGGGGAGAGAGATTTAAAGAAAAACTTCGAAAAAAAAAAACAGTAAAAAAATTGATATTAGTAATTTACCTCTGTCATTTCATACTGCAAGAGTAATGGAATAGTCAAAGAAGTAATGTCATATGAGCAAGCCACTTTTAATATGCTCCTAAGACCTAGAATGACTGCGTTCCTGCTATTGATATCCGCTGATTTCAGTCGATCATCAGTTACCATGTGAAATACCACGTGCACTTCTGGTAAATTTGAATGCCTGGTTATATAAAAATCACCAGGCTGCAAAAGTTTACTGTTGCCATCCTTTAAATGATTTTTTATCACGTTATTTATCGCTTCATATTGATCTTCTATATGAGGAAAGTGAAACTCTGTTGAACGTTGACATATACTTGAAAATCCTATAAAAAAAGTGATTATACATAACACATTTTTTTGTTTTTGATAGGTTTTTTAGAAGGCACCTGTTGTAAACCATGTTCCAACTACAGGATCAGTTAATAGTACTAAACCAGATAAATCATTGGAATATAAAGCAAGTGATGTTTGCAATAATTGTGGTGTAGGTTCTAAACTGTAACAAAGCAATTTTCTAAAGGGTTCTCAGTTTTTGCTTTGCCATAATTAACTTGTCCTTACCAAGTTTCATTTATTGAACATAAATCAATAACATCAGCTGTAAGGACTCTTATGTTATGCATTTGTTTTAATTGAGATCCCAAATGTATAGTGAAACTTTCTTCATTCAAATACAGATTTTGCAAATCGTTATCAAAGCCACAAGGTTCTCTGAATGACATCACTGTTGATAAAGAAGGAGATAGAGGCGAGCTTCTTAAAGAAATTTAAATAAAGATTAAAATCATCAATTTTTGCCATTGGAAACCCACTTGGGTGTTGGAAGTGAGCCCTTTGCTTGATTTTGTTCCAATATTTGCATTATCCACTCTCTGTATTCCCTTCTTTGGGCTTCTTTTAAAGTTTCCAATTCACTTGTTAACTGCACTCTGAGAAAAGAATGATCTTCGAAGTGCCTAGCAGCAATTTCATTTATTTTTCTTTCATTCATGTCTTCATCTTCTAATCTATCTACAGCTTTTGTCATTTCATCTGTCTGGCTGAAAAAAATACTTATTTGTGCTTATTCTGAGGCGGTGAGTGGGCTAAAACCCCCTCACCACCTTCAAGTAAATTTCTTAAATTAAATTAATTCATTTAATTGGGACAAGACAATATTCTCAATAAAGTGGTCTAAGAAAAAGTTTAAAGACTCACATATCTGATAAACTTTTAATTTGTCGATCCCTTTCGTCCACTCTATGTCTAATTGTTTGAGCGTAAGTATGTTCTAATTGTAACATGGTTTCTAGAGCAGGAGAGTGTACTAATTTATGATAAGCCAAAGCAAAAAGCTCCTCATCAGAAGCACAGACTTTTTCTCCAAATTCGGCAGTTTCCTTTGCAAAAAAAGTAATCTCAGTGCTTATTACATTAGTTAACTTTAACTGTATACTTCTCTTATCATTTTTTCCCATTCTTTTATAATTTCCTCTACATCAATTGTATTACTTTTAGCATCCTGGATTATTTTATCTGTTACCAAATTGTAGTTATTATCTACATGATCTCTTAGATGTTTTTCTATTTCTTTGTAGCATTCTAAAAATAAACAGATAACAAAAATAATACTGCTGAAACGGTATTAGTGTACCTTTCTCCAAGTAAACAGGAACTTTATTATCATTAATTAAAATGTATATCAATTCTTCTATATTGGTATCATTTGAAACATTTACTTCTACCTCAGTAAAGCCCAAAGGCAAGTTTAAACAAATATTTTGGGCAATAGTAGTTTCCATATTTTCAAAAATTCATTTTACCACATTTTAAACTTCTTCAGATTAAAATAAAGATAGAAATTACTCGCAAGTGAATATAAACCCTTTGAATAAACTATTTTCCTGACTTTTTTATAATTATTATAATATAAAACGTATATGTTTTACATACTTTTATTATTATATATTGTAGACATATTATAGGTTAACCAGGTTATCTCCATAGTCTATATCTATAGCCAGGCAGTTCCAAACAAAAACAAAAAAAACATTCCATTCCTTCTTCTATGATCCGTTCCATAAATCTCTTATCCATAGCTCTTATCTGTGATAAATCCGTTCAAAAACAAATAAAATGAGGTTAGTGTTATGAGGTTATACGAGATTTTTTGGTACATTAGCCAAAATCAAGTAAAATAAAGACAATTTTTGTTATTTATATTTCATATTATGATTTAAAATACTGAGAAAATATAAAATGGCTCAATGGATAGGGTGCATGGTATCAATAGAAAGTGTAAAGGGCACTTATCAGGGAGAAATTGTTGCAGCAACAGGTAGTGAAATTACAGTAACCAAAGCTTTTTGTGACGGAATACCTTGTGATCTCCCAGCAGTTACTATAAGGTTCTAAAATATGAGAACAACTTTGATTTTTACTAATATTTGATTTCGTAGAGCTGAAGAAATATCAGATCTAAAATTGATAGAAAAACAAGAAAGTCCCGCTGGTCGCAGTACAGTTGTTGTTGCTAAACCTGTTCCAAAACGTATAGGACGATCAACGTCAGAAAGTTCTTCAGTAACTAAGCTAAATACAAATATTAATAATCTTAAGTCTCGACCGATTGATATTGATACTAGGAATAACAGTCAGGATTCACAGTACTATAAAAACTTTACTCCAAATAAAAAAGATAAAACAAAAGGCAAATGGAACAAAGGTTGGAAAGATGAAGCATGTTTCGGATCTCCATTAGACAGTACAATAAATAAAGATTTTGATTTTGAAAAGAATTTGGCCTTATTTGATAAACAAGCAATTTGGGATGAAATAAACTCACAAAAGCCTGATGTAGTGAAACAGACAGACCAGAATAGGAAGCAAAGTAAATACAGGTCTGTTACTGTTTACATCAGTTGTAATAACTTATAGTTGATTGGTAAAGTTTTGCAGGCATGATGAGAATATCTTAGCTACGTTACCAACAGCCTTTCGTCAAATTACAGTTCCAAAGCATGAGTTTTTCGAGTTTGTTACTGATGATGGGCTTATAATCCCTAGTATTTCAAGATCATTACGAAATAAATTGTGGACAGTTGCAGATAGAGTTGGTCTAACTGCTGAAAGAAGAATAGAACTTATGGGAAGAGCTGCCACAGAAATGGCCCTTCAATTGCTTGGTGGTGGTCATAGATTAAATCCACATAATAGTCACCAATTTCCAACCGTTATAATTCTTTGTGGTCCCCATGAGTATGTACTTTTAAATTAATCTTTTATAAATAGCAACTTATTTTAAAATTTTCCATATAATGAAAAAGATTTATTGTAATCTTTTTGTTTTTATTTAGGCAAGGAGCCTTTGGAGCGAATGCCGCCAGACAGCTGGCAACCCACGGTGTAAATACTGTACTTTACACAACTGTAGCTGATTCTCCTAAAACTAAACAAGAAATCGATTTGTATAGACTCACTAATAACAAAACAGTTTCGAACGTGTCGCTTTTACCAAATTATGCCGATCTCATTATAGTAGCATTGTGTCAGGATTGTGATTCCCCGATGGTTTATGATACATTAGCGGATTGGACAAATAGAAATAGAGCTCCGGTTTTGGCTCTTGATCCTCCTTCGGTCGGAACTCCTGGTATCTTAACGAAATTTTCTCTTGTTCCTGTCCTGCCTTTTGCTCATTCTCCAGAAAATGGGAAAGTTTATCTCTGTAATCTGGGGTTTCCAGTTGAGATTTTTAACGAAGTTGGAATAAAATACATGTCGCCTTTTGGTTCTAAATTTTTTATAGCCTTGCATCCCAAAGAGGAAGAATGTTAATATAGAAATTAAGGCAAACGTATAAATTTTTGACTTGGTGATATTGGAAGCGTCATACTTATGTATACAGGGTGTTCCGTTTTGTGTATTTAATTGGGTTTCTGAAATTTATAATTAAAAAGACATTCTCCTGTTGAAATGCTCATAAATGTTATACACAAATGGACACCCTGAATACAAAGTTAATTTTATAGCTATCAGTTTTTAAACATTTTTAACAGTATAAAATAATATGTATATTTTTATATGTTGTAATTTGTTTTAATTTATTACGTTTGTTTCTACTTGTAACAAAATAACTGATGGGCAAATTGAGAAATTTGTATGTAGGTATATTTTAATAAAAAGCAAACATTTTAAAGACAACTTTATTATTACAAAATCAAACAAAATAAAAGTTATCATAAAAAACTTTGTTTCTTAAGTAATGGAAAAAACCTACAAGCAACTCTTCTGTCTTTGTTCCAGTAGATAATCTAGCAAGGCTTTGATAAGGGGATGTTCAATCTTGTCAGCAGTCGTTTTAAAATACTCCTCCAGTTTTCCAGGTATATTATCTCTTTGTTCATATTCTGTTGCTGTAAATAACAAATCAAATCTATCCAAATCTTTAACAAACTTAGCTTCTGGTGTTTCTTTGGCTTCATATTCTTTGTATAATGTATATATTGTCTTGCCGATGTCATCCTCCAATGTAGATGTTATTTGCTGCATGGCTTCATCTTCCATTAATTTCTTCTTGTCTGCGGGGACATTATCATGTGGTGTGATATCTCCAATTATACTTTCCGCCAGATCATGAACTATCGCTAGTTGTAAACATTTCAATCTATCTAAAGGTGTATTATCTCCAAGAAGGAAGGTCATCATTCCCATTGCATACATATGACCTGAAATAGTCTCTGTGTTTTTTAAACCTGACCGACGCCATCCCTCTCGTGGTCGATGTTTTAAGATGTTCACAAAACGAATAAACTCGAAAATTTTCTTTGTGTTTGGTGTATTCATAATAGATTAATTTGAATAATTTGTATTATGATTATGATGGTGAATTCAATAAGGATGTTGCAAGTAATAAAAGGTACTACACTTTTTCGTTCGCGATTTATGTATTTTATAATGAAATGGGCCAATTTTTTCTGCTAATTTTGAAAATAAAATATATGCAACTACATTCAAGAACTCATGACAAAAAAATGTCTCTAGCATACATTCTACCTCAATGTATCTCAACACATGTCAAGTGGTTCAAGACGTCCCCAAAAAAAAATTGAAGAACGATTGTTGAACAAAATGAAAATCCAGGGGCGTCACATAATGGTTTAATGTAAGGAACGTTTTAAAAAATATATAAAACAATTAATANTCCGATACTTCATGCAAGGATTACATAAATTTAATTTTTATTTTTATCTCCTAAGAAGGTATATGAATGAAACGAATCAATAATTAAAAAAATTGATTATGAATGCTTGAGTTTGAAGCACAATTTTTGACACTTTTTATTATTTTGGACAAGTATAAGACTGAAATGAATATTTTATAATGGGAATTATTCTAAAACTGTGTTTTGTCCCATTAGGTGCCTTAGATGAGACAAATGGCGCGGGCGAACGGTTGGATGGACTGACACCAAAGCAACGTCATCAAATGAAGCACCGCGAGTTGTTCTTATCGCGTCAGGTGGAGACTTTGCCCGCGACACATATACGCGGCAAGTGCTCGGTTACGCTCTTCAACGAAACCGAAGCGTTGTCCTCGTACCTGAACAAAGACGACACGTTCTTTTACTGTTTAGTGTTTGATCCGACACAAAAAACATTGCTAGCTGACAAAGGAGAAATTCGTGTCGGCAGTCGTTATCAGAGCGACGTTACATCCCTGTTGAAAGAGGGCGAAAGCGACGGACGCGACCTAAACGACCTGGAGACGCTCGTGTGGACGCCCGAACACAACTTGACCGATCGACAAATTGATCAGTTCCTGGTGGTGGCTCGTTCTGTCGGTACGTTCGCGCGGGCCCTCGACTGCAGCTCGTCCGTGAAGCAACCATCGTTGCACATGTCGGCTGCTGCTGCAAGTCGAGATATTACCCTCTTTCACGCCATGGACACGCTGCACCAGCACGGTTATGATCTCGCGGCCGCTATGTGTTCCCTCGTACCGTCCAGCGGTCCGGTATTGTGCCGAGACGAGATGGAAGAGTGGAGTGCGTCAGAAGCAAACTTATTTGAAGAAGCACTCGACAAATACGGTAAGGATTTCAATGACATACGACAGGACTTTTTGTCATGGAAGACGCTTAAGAATATTATCGAGTACTACTACATGTGGAAGACGACCGATCGGTACGTTCAACAGAAGAGAGTCAAAGCGGTCGAAGCAGAATCCAAGCTCAAGCAGGTTTACATTCCTAACTAGTAAGAAAGTATTCTTTTTGTTTTTTATTATTGCAAAACATGCCATCACGGCATTGAAAAATCGTATTTCTTTTAGCAACAAACCAAATCCTGCAGCTTTGAATAACAATAAGGGCATAATCAATGGTAGTAGTAATGGTAACCCAGAACCTGTTTCGTTAGGGGGCAAATCCTGCGAATCTTGTAACGGTATGTAACAGAATATGTCTAAGTAGTGTTTTATACTTAAGCATTATTTATTTCACACATACAGTGACCGCATCTAGCCAATGGTACGCATGGGGTCCATCGCACATGCAGTGCCGTCTTTGTCAAATATGCTGGACCTACTGGAAGCGTTATGGTGGTTTGAAAGTACCAACGCGTTTTGGTGACGGCGGTGAATTCGATCCATCCGGTCGTAAAAAAGCAGGAAGCGACGCTGACGATGACAAAGCGTCGACACTAATGTCTCAACATCGTCCTCACCGTTGTAACGTAAGCGGTTGCGGTAAGGAGTTTAAGTTGAAGGCCCACTTGGGACGTCATTATGCTACGGCACATGGCATCATGGTAAGATCGGGTTCACCACGACCAATTATGAAAACGCGCACCGCTTTTTATTTATGTACGACCCCTTTGACGCGCATTTCGCGACGTCTCTGTCGTCACATAATGCGTCCTCGGCATGCTGCTCGTGCCCCATTCTTCCCGATCAACATTCAGGCTGTCAAACAGGAATGTGGCGTTCATTTAGCCGGAAAAACCATCAACGATCTTCGTCATCTGTTGGTGTACAGAAGAAAGATGCGCGAAAACGTAACCGGCATCGCAACACGTTTAGGGAATCCCGGGGGCACGACGCCGCAATGGCTCATCCTCACAGATAAGGATAATTTACCAAAACCGGAAAGGGTTGCATTCCCGAGACCTCCGAAAGCACCAGACGGCAGTTTATTATACGAAAGGGTTCCTAATAAGGCAGACATCGAGAAGCCGATCGGTGTTACCGGGGCTCCACCGGTTGGCGGAGTTATAGGCATAACATCAGCAGCTGCCTACAACAACGTTATGCCGTCGCTCAAAAGGCAGGCGTATGAGGAGTTGAACGGTATCGATGGTAAGTGTACTATTCTTTTATCCTTTTAATATTGCAGTGGTAATAAATAATATAATTAACAAACCAGAAAAAGGTAGAACATTATTTACGGTTATACAACAAGTATATTATTATTACCGTACGTATTTAATTTTTAAGTGGACACATTGTATAACTACTGCAATATCGCCTACAAAGTTATTCTTTTATTATTATGGTTTTTCAATTGTATTGGTAAAAGAAAAGATAAACGTAATTTAATTTGCTTCCAATTGTATTACTTAGTGGCGCCCCAATTTTTTTATTGTTTATGATACTATTAAAAATTTACAATCGTTTTCATTTATTGGCTTCTACTCCGACTTGGACTGGGACGATGGTAAGTTTTCTATCACAACAAAGATACACTACGTAATAATTTGAAGTAAAAAAAGTAGAAATGAATAAAATGTTTTTAAAAATCTAAAGGAACAACGATCATGGGCCCGCCGGCGAAAAAGTTTAACAAGGAGCCGATGCCGATTGTACGTGGTGCCCCGACGGACCCTTACGCAGCAGCTATGACAGCCGCAATGGTCTCCTCTGGCCAGGTACTGCCCCGACAAATTGCTCAAATCAACGGTAAACCGAAAATTGCCCACATGACCAGGACCGGCACGGGACGTAAACAAGTTATAAGTTGGATGGACGCTCCCGACGATGTTTATTTCAGGGCTACCGAAGGAAGCAAGTAAGTTTTAGTTTATACACACGACAAGTTTTATTTTATTATATTAAACATTTGCCCTTTAGATTATTAAATGTTACGTAAATAAATCTAAGTATGTAGAGGTCAACTAGACTTGAATTTTATTCAAAAATATATGGTAGAGTAGCTTTTTTATAATAAATTTTCGTTCGTACATCGTACCCTTTTAACATAATAGTTGCGTTGATCATGCATAGTATGCAGAAAATTAGTATATATTTAAACTATTGATATTTCCATTTTCAGGAAAATAAGAAGACAAATTACATCAACAGAGCTGCGGAGAGCAGCACGAAAACCGTGGCGACCGCTAAAAACGAAAATAGACGATTTACACGTGGTCGTCTTGGATTGACAGTAACTTAAGTTTGTTCGGTTATGTGCAGGATAATTGCAAAGTTACAAAACAAAAAACTGAAAGAATCGCCGAACAGCACAAAAAAACAATTAATTGGACAAAATCGCCACTAGCAGTATCACAATCATAAACACTCAACGTTTATACACAAATTAAGTTACTGTGAAAAAGACTTGTTTAGTATGTAATTTTATTGACTAATTTATAAAGCACAAGTTTTTGTGATTGATTCGATTATTTACTATTCATATTATAATGATAATGATTATTATTATTATTATTTTTATTAATATTATTGTTGTTGTAAATG